ACACTGATATTTCAGTATGAGGAACGCAGACATAAACACCCATTTTCCCATTTTTCATATTTTGTTGTGCCCTGCACTTCTTCTATGCCCTGGAACCCTTTCATGCTATGAGGTTACTTGCCTCCCATTCGCACGCCGACGAGAATGCTGTGTGGATATGCCGACACTGGAGCTTCAAAACTGTAAGATGAAATTGATTCTCTACGGGAAGCATGATTTCGAAGACCATCAGAAAAAAAGGAGGTCAGTCTGCTGTCAAAACTGTTTCATACTGAACAGTTTGAGGTTTTTGTTGTATCCTAAAATTGTGTTCTCAAATCCAATACACTTTTCTAATATAAAGTAGCAAATAGCCAAAATTAATCAGTTCTTTTGACAGTTTGAGCATATGGATGTGATTTTGATTGCTTTGGGGCTTTTATTTTTGATTAAAAACACTGGACAAACAATAGCGTTTAATTTGTCCAATCCAGTTGTAACAAATAAACCTGATTATATGAAATTAAATAGTTAAAGGTTCTCTGAGCGATGTCGGGTGACGTCACTTCTTGTTGACGTTTAAAGTATTGTCAAACAAAACGGAGGCTAGCTAGACCCTCCCTCCTCCTCATCCGTGCACTAACCCCCCAAACCCCGCCCCCAAGTCCTTCTTGTCGGTGATTGGCTGGAACTGTTTGTCATGTTTCGTGGAGCGGGTTAGCCCAGTTTGTTTTTGTTGCTGTTTGTGGAGCCTGGGCTGTCTACAGAGATCGCGTTTCTTTACAGTGTGTTCAGGGGACAGGCAGGCAGCCAGCGGATAGTGAGGAGATGTTTGCTGTATGTGACAAAAAATGTTTTGGCCTAAAAAACACGTGACATCGCTTAGAGCACCTTTAAGAAACTAGCAAAAAAACTACATTAGCTAAATAAAAGTTAAATTACCTTATTTTTTCCCATTGTCTTCTCTGATTTTCATCTTTCGAAATAATGCTCAAGCTAAAAAGTTCATTTATTTATAAAAGCTCAGTTTGAAAGAGACATTTAATTTAAAATTTCCCTTTACTCGAATAATTCATTGTTGTACTATAATCATGTTGGAACTTTCAGGAGAAATGAACTCAATTAAAAATTTCTCTGATAGTTTCAGTCTGACCTTCAGACTCCGTGCGGCTCATTACAGCATGCATTATTTTATGAATCTGCTTATGAATGATGGTGCAGTTAAAAACTTGAACTCAACAGAAAAGTATTTGCATGGAGTCCAACATGAATGTATGCAGATATCATTAATTCAAGATTTTAAAGTACAACATAATTCGAGAATTTATTCTGATTCAAGTGGAATCAGAATGCCAAATCCTGACTGGACGAGAGGAGGAGCTGGGGATGGAGGAGGGTAATGAGCTCTTGAGAAACGCGATAGCTGCAGTTAATACTGAAGGAGCTTATATATGTATACAGTGATAGGCGTCGTATTCCTATAGGTAGACGTGGATCAGCTGAGAGTCAGCTGATGCGAGCTTGACTAACGTGACCTGCCAGAACTGACGCTACGCTTGATTTTTGTCATTTTCTGCTCGTCTGCACTTTCAGCACGTTTCCTATTACAACGTCTGACGTTTAAGTTTTGCATGGCTTGAGAAATTCACACAAACCACGTGAAATCTGATCAGAGCGGTCAGACTGAAACGATTTGAATAGGATTTCAAACCACATATGAATGTAGCTCGAAACGGATTTGTAAAAATTGCATTTCAGGTAAAATGGAGAGACATGTCCCAGATAAAATGTCCCATCATTGCTTAAGGGGCATAATGATGAATGTTTTCAAGTGGTCATATGAACAGAAAGATTTACAACCCTTAAGTGAAGAGAGGAACAGAGCAACTGAGTGCAGTAGGGATGCAGTGAGTGCATGGGGACGTGAAGGCTGGACTGTGCTTTTGCTGCAAAGTGATCCGTAAAGGTCAAGATATCTTGGACAACTCAGGCATTTAACACTCCAGGGGGCAACGACTGTGTGACCTTCAACAGTAATGGACAGAGAGCATGTGGGCAAGCCGCAACCTGGAGGAAGAGGATGTCAAGGATGAGCTTGAGGAGATGAATAGGTTTCTGAATGAAAATGTCAGGAGTGACAGGTTGCCTGCCTTTATTGTGGAATTGATGTGGAAAGTTTTTAGTGCAAAAATACTGGAGGTTTCGTTCACTTATCACAACCACACGTCACAGCCCTCTATTAGAAAATATACATGTATTGAAACTGTATCTTTCTCATTAATTCAATATTTGTATGCCTATATTAACATAATAATTATTGTAATATCCATCATATTATTTTGTTTACTGCTGCAAAAAAAATTATAATGCATAAACTGCAAAAAAAGCCATATGCGCAGCTACAAAGGTGAGTTTTGTGAATCTGTTCACTTAAATCAAGCATTTGAATGACCCGATTCACTAAATGAGTCCGACATTTCAATGCTTCATTTGTACGATTCCGAGCAAATATTTTAAGAGAGTTAGTTAATATTTATTTGTTTGCATCGGTATGAAGCTGCGGTTGCAATACAGTGTGGCAGAAAATAGCATTTTATCTGCTAAATCTCTACTTCTTGGAAAAGCAGGATAATTACTGGAAAAGGTGTTGAGAACAGCTGAGCTGACTGCTGCTGCCTTTATGTTTGAGCTAACTATATGTCATTTCCGTTTCGTGTGGAGTCAGCTTTGACATCTGTTTGTTATACTGGTCGATTATAATCATCAAACAGGGTGAGACATCAGACAATGAGTCATGGTGCTCCTACAAATGTTTTGTGCTAATAATAATTTATTCACGTTTGCCCCCAGGCTGAGACCTATTATTAATATCAGGGCTATGATGGTATTACTGTAAGTATGGAAGAGTTTCCATGGAAATCTTACCGGATGAAGAATACGTCAAGCAAAACCAGCATGAACACTATGTATTTGTTCAAGAAAATTAGTCTCTTATAGATGGGCATATCCTACTGATATTTAAAGAAAGATCACCAAGGAAAATTATTGTTGTGTGTATAAGTGTAGACAAGAACAAATGGAGATCTGGAACAAAAATCTACAGGAAATTTCATCTGACATTCCAAAAAAAAAAAAGTATACTGGACGTAGTCTATATTTCTATAGAACCACACCTTTCCACCATTATTGTACAGTAAGAAAGATAGTATACAGTTCAGTAAACACACATGACTATTTAGCAGTTTTCCAATGTGACAAGATGTCCTTCTATGAGAGTCGGGGAAAGTTACTTTTAAAAGTAGTGTATTACAATATTGTGTTACCCCCTAAAAAAGTAACTAATTACGTTACTAAGTTACTTTTTATGGAAAGTAATGCTGTATGTTGCTTTTGCTTTAGTTTTTCTCATCTTGCTGATACTCCAGGCATTTGGGAGGCATACTCCAGGCATACTCCCTCCTCTAGGCCTTGCAGACATTTTTTTCCCTTTAACACATTCTGTTGACTATCAGTAACATTGCACCTACATGTCGACTAACTCTCAGTAGAGTGTTAGTATAGAATTAGCAGACTAGTAGGGTTAGGGTTAGAATAAGTCGACATGTATTTGCAAAGTTACTTATAGTCAGTAGAATGTCTGTTGGAGGACCATCAAAATAAAGTGTTACCCTTTTTTGCAAGTGTTTAACGCAGTAATGCATTCAACAGCCCATATAACATGCACCTTAATTTTTCTTTTAGAATATTACCTGACTCTTAAAGTTATATATGCCGTTTTAAAAATCCGTAACATTATGTGTTATATACCTATATACAGCACAACTGTTTTTTAAAAAGTTACAATTAAAGTGTTTTGTTACTTTTGAACTTTTTGTCCGTTCCCACGCATACACAAATGCACATTTATATGTGACTATATTATGGAGAAGAGAATTTTATTTCATTAGTTTAAAAAATGTGTAAGCAAATGAATTAAAATGTGTAAATTTATTAAGTAATGCATTAATTAGTAACACTTTAAAATTTAAGATGACGTAGTTACACGTTACGTAAAAAGTGTAAATTATGCATAATTACAAGTAACCAACCCTTAACCAAACCGTAACTCTATAGTAAGAACATTAATTAATATTACTCAGTACTGAGTAAGTACAATGCAATTACGGGACCTTAAAAAAAGTGTAACCCGTTAATTTATTTGTTACATCCAAAAAGTAATCTGATTACATAATACACATTACCTGTAATGAGTTACCCCCAACACTCCCAGCTATAGTCTTTCATAGGCTAGTTAATTAAGGATTTGTGTCATAGTTATATAGAGATATGCTACCCCAGTTTTTCATATCAATTTAATAACTCAATACTGAAAAGAACCATGTTCACTGTTGGATTAATATTGATTTTAGGTTAGACCAAAAACTACAAAACAAAGTGTTGGAAAGAGAATTATATGAGCACAATTTGCTCTGGTAAGATTTTATGGGCTTTTAGCCTTTTACATAAATGAAAAGTCCTTGAAACATGACAGGGACCCTCTTTTATGCTTTCATATACAGCATTATAATGGTCCTTGAAAACATCACAATCATAGGCCTATTTATTAAATTTGCCATTTTTTATTTGAACAGCATTTTATCTTCGGTACATTTTTCTTATTGTTGGCAGCATGCTCAGTGGTGAACAAAACTTAAAAAGAGGCTTAGTCATTGAAGTACTTCTCTATGTATATAGGCTACCATCCTGCATAAAGTCCTCTTGTGGAATGGAAACATGACCATATTAGTCCATCTGGAAACATTTTGAAAAATATAAGTTATACTTAAATATAACTATTTTAGATATAAATTATATCTAAGAAATTCCACAGATATTCTTTAGGGTGAAATGTTGACTTCAGTGCAAAAGAGACATATAACTCAGATATCATTTTTCATTGTGTTCAGACAGGAAAAGCAGTGTTGTTGTTATATTTAGAAAGCTATCGCTGCCATGATACTGATGAGATGTTTGAATAAATGTTAATAAAAGTATTTTTATTTGATATAAATAGAGAGATAAATAAATTAAATGGTATTTTGCAGTCTCTGCATTCGGCACTTGCAGATCGTCAGGGCGTCGTGTTCATCGTTGTTTTCTCTCTTGCAGCTGTGAAAGAATACATGAAACTGAGTGTCATTGATTAGATGGTGAGAAATAGCTCAAACCTGCCTCCATACCCAGCTAACAGGGAACGTTCTCAGGACTTTGGCTAACGTTCTGGCAAGGTTCACTCAATGCTATAAACAAACAATTTTTGTAAGTGATGTTAACCCTCAGAGACCTAAGGGTATTTTTACAATAAATTTTCCGTCTGGTGTTATTCACTAAAAAAGCTTGTAAAACATCAACCCTTTTGTGCACAGACAATTGACACACCTCTTTTTTTTCAGGACAAATTGAACTTTCAGCATATTTGTGTTGCATTGATGTCACCTGAATGTAAAATAAGTTATGGGACCACAAAGACAAATGAAAAAATAAATCGGAAATTGAATCACTCAAATATTTTTTGAAATCACACACAAATAAATAAAAGCTAAGCAAATTTCCTCTGGAAAACAGTTTGTTCATGTCTTTGGAGTCCTGGAGCACAGGAATAAACATTATAACTTGTACAGAACCAAAGCTATTTACATTTTTCCAAAAGAATTCCAGGCGTTTTGGGCCTCATGAAATTCACTGGTGCCAAGCCAAAACAGTTCCTATCAGCAATCACAAAGAGGGCCACATCACTAATCTAGTTCCTCATCGGTCAAAAAGCTCTGTTCTCCTGAAAATCCATCATCCTGCATGGCATCAAAAAAGGCCAGCGCTGATTTACATCCATTTTTCTTTGTGTTTCTCTGTGAAACGCGCGTCTCTTTGTGCGTCTCTCTCTCCACAATAATATCAGAGCTTGGTTCGTGCATTCGTGACGCACAACAATGTTTACGACGGATCAGCCTGTAATTGGTCAACAACCATCACGTGAAAACATCACGTGATATCCAAAATGGCAGCTTGCATCGAGCTAGCGGCAAAAATGACGGAATATTTATAAATTATGGACATCAAGAGGCTCATACTTGGATATAAGCGTTTGGATTTATTGCTGAAAAACTCCAAAAGGATGCACAAGTTTCAGGCTGGATAGAAAACCTTCTGTAAAGGCTAGAAAGACACCAGAGACACCCCCTGTGATGGCTAGCTCGTTAGCTTTCTGCTGGAAAAAACGGTAAGAAAATCGATAAAACTTTCATCAAATTATATAAATATTTATCGGAGGTGCCGTGTGACGTCGTGGACGATGCCGTCGGGCTCTGAGGGTTAAAGGGGTCATCGGATGCCCATTTTCCACAAGTTGGTATGATTCTTTAGGATCTTCATGTACAGTTTGTAACATACTTTGGTTCAAATTCCTCAATGGTTGTGTAAAACAACACCCTTTTTACCTCCTCAAAAACTGCTCTGATCACAGCGAACCATTTCGGTGCATGTCTCTTTAAATGATAATGAGTCAGTGGTCGTGGGCGGAGGATGAGCAATATGACATCATATTGTTCAGAAAATCCAAACTGCTTGATTATTAAGAGTGTTTAGACTTTTTGAGGATTAAAAAGAAAAGGAGCAAATGGATTTTCTTCATTGTATGGTGCTGTGTCCACCAGTGATGGAGTACTCGAGTCCTGGACTCGGACTCGAGTCCGACTCGAGTCCTTATTCTCTGGACTCGAGTCCGACTCGAGACTCCATGCTCTGGACTCGTGACTCGACTTGGACTCGCGGGCTGATGACTATACTTGGTCTCGGACTCGAGAATATATAAAATCGGACTTGAGCATTCATCAAATGAATGACGTTGTTTCTGACTAAATAGGTTATAAAAATTGATATAAGATGTTACACTTTTCCTGTTTCGGTGTCCAAGACCGGCCGTGATCTATTTTTTCCCTCACAGACGCTACCGCTCGCTCTCCTTGCTTGACAACACACTCACTGACGTCACTCACTTTACGCTGCATTCTCGTGAGAGAGATAACGCAACACTCATTTAACACTAGATAAGTTCCTCTACATCTAATCAGCAATTTCGATTTTGGCACGCTTTGCAGCAGCTGAGCTGACCACTAAGGAGCGAACGTACAGTGACGTGACATAACTGCCATATTTAAACTGTGCTTTCGTGCTATGGCTGGCGCTGAGCCAAAGTCGGACGCGCTCAGCGCTTAATCCCGCTTATCATACAATAGCACAATTATGTTTATTTTAGCTAACAAACTAGACGGCGACCTTGACTATGTCACACATTGCAACCACTCTTTTCCTGCGGAGTTACAACTGCTTATAGCACTGCATTTTCTGTTTTTTTTTTTTTTTTTTTTGCCGCAGTTACATTGATTTAGTTTGCTTTTCAAAATTTTAAAATTGTTTTTCTTTTACCATATTCGTCAAGAAGAATGCATTTCTCCTCCTCTGTCCAATTAGGCTTTCCTTTTTGTTTTATTTATCCATTCCAGTTGACTGATCATCCAAAAATTTATTTAAACAATTAAATAAATATAGCCTAATCGTGCCACAGGTAGTTGACAATGATTTGCTAAGGTCAAAGGCAATTCTAGTGATAGGCTATCATACACATTTAGCTGCAACAAGAGTGCCTGAAAAATGTTGCTTGATTTGGCTTAAGTGTATATAATTTCGACTCGGACTCGAACACGGGACTCGAGACTCGGACTTGAACTCAGGTAATGGTGACTCGACTTGGACTCGACTCGGACTCTTCTTTGGTGACTCGGACTTGGACTCGGACTCGAACACTGGGACTCGAGACTCGACTCGGACTCGACAGTTGGTGACTCGACTACAACACTGTGTCCACACACTGCAAAGACACATTTATATGCAAACACCATTTAAAAGTGAATTTTGCATCTGATGACCCCGTTAAATGTTAATTCAAAGTAATCTGGTCTTAAATAATGTTTTCAAAACGTTAGCACAAAAAGGTTATTTAACTTTTTTTGTCTGTAATGTTTCAATTGAACATTTGTCTAATGATTTTAAATGTTACTACTTGTTTCAGGACATCCAGAGAACATTTAAAAGTATAGGCCAACAAATGTTTGCAAAATGATAATGAAAATAGAAAACAGAACAAATTAGAACATTACCTAAATGTTAGCATAGCCAAGAACATTTAAATTAACCAAGATTTTGAACATTCTTTAAAACATTTTAGGAGCATATTCATGTTAGCTGGGTAGTTTGATATTTGACATGAATCTGAATAACAGGCTATGCGTATCAGAATGAAAAACTTTAAGGCATCATTTAAAGTGAGTCAAAATAAAGCTTGACAGGGTCATCAGATCCCAACGTGGAGTGGCACAGCTACCAAATAAATAAATACGTGGACATGAAACCTTAATTTGCGCTAACATTACTTTATAATGTTATGCATATATTAGGCTCAAAGGGTTAGTTCACCCAAAAATTACAATTATCCCATCATTTACTCACCCTCAAACCATCCTAGGTGTATGACTTTCTTCTTTCAGCCGAACACAATCTGAGTTATATTAAAAAATATCTTGGCTCTTCCCAGCTATAATGAGAGTGAATGTTACCTTGTTTTTTGAAGCCCAAAAAAACGCATCCATCCATTATAAAAGTAATCCATATGGTACCAGGGGGTTAATAAAGTCATTCTGAAGTGAAGTGATGTGTTTTTGTAAGTAAAATATCCATCATTATAACTTTATAAACTGTAATCACTAGCTTCCGGTAACGGCCGTACGCAAGCCGAGTTCCGGCGGAAGAGTGAACGTACGTATGACGTAGGATGTAGGAGTAGCGTAAGCTTAGACGCCTCTAGTGGTTCAAACTAAAAGGGCTGGGAAACAAACTCAAGCTCCTCCGACATTTCTTTTTAAAAATTCTCGATTTAGACTTCTAATTCGTGACCGGTGTTTTGTTTTGCTATATCCTCTATGCTTCCGTGTTTGTCAATACATTATGCGTTAGGTCAGAGTTCATACGACTCGCATACGGAAGCCAGTGATTCTAGTTTATAAAGTTTATGAAGCTTTGCTTCAGAAGGCCTTTATTAACCCACTGGAGTTGTATGGATTACTTTTATGATGGATGGATGGATGCACTTTTTTGGGCTTCAAAATTTCAGTTACTATTCACTCCCATTATAAAGCTTGGAAGAGCCAGGATATTTTTTAACATAACTCAGATTGTTTTCGGTTGAGAGAAGAAAGTCATATACACCTAGGATGGCTTGAAGGAGAGTAAATTATGGGATAAGTTTCATTTAAACAAGAAAAAGAAAACTGCAACAATATTACAATATGAATGCTGAAGTCCTCTGAGGTGATTTGTATATTGCAATTGATAAATGAGACGCAAGATAACGGCAGTTGCGTTTGTTTGAATCAAAAGAGAGCGAGTACGCAGGGTAATACGAGAGACACACAAGCAACACAGATTTCAGTGAGTGCAATATGAGACTGAAAGAGCGCACTAAAATACCAGGCGGCGGAATGGCGCGACTGACCAATCAGAATCAAGTATTAAACAGTAACGGAAATAAAAACGATAAAAATAATTAAAAAAAACATGTCCAGTGACATCCAAAAATACTCAAAGAAACTGTAAATCAAGCAATGTAATTTTCATTCAAACATTACAAATTAGTTATAATAGTGTGAGATAAATTAAATGTATAGTTTTGAAAATCATTCTACCTTTAGAAGATTTGTTGAATTGTGTCACGTATGGTGTAATCTGTCTGTCCATACTTTTGGAATACATTCACATCGCTCTACATCAATCTCACAGTCCTCCTCACTGACGGAAGATGGAGGTTCTGGTAAAAAAATTTGCAAAAATAAAAAATAAATGTGTTATCGCAGGTGTAAATAAAAATTGCAAAAATATATAAATCATGTTGTTGTGTGTGCCTTGTTGGGCCTATATTAAATTAAAGTCCCTGCAATATAGTAAATAAGTAAATAAAAAGTAACTGAGTCATTCGTGCTTTAGGCCAGAACAGGAATTGGCATTACGGGAGTTGAAATCAATTCCTCACTGACCTTGTTTGCTGGAGGGGTACGTCACACATCGCTCTGCCATCCAGTCCCATATTAAACCTTTGTTGCATAGCCTCTTGTCTTCTGGCTTACGTGTAGGAGAGCAACTGCACACAAACACATTATTATGCCAGAAAGCACTCCTACATATGGCTGACACTCAGCAAGGCACAATCTGTAATTTCTCTTCGAGCAACACTGTTGAATCAACAGTGAATAAACAGTGTGGCACTGGAAAAACAAGGGTTGGGTCTAACGTTTCAAAGAGTTTGATCATACACTACAAGAGGTACCCAGCCAATTTAAATTAAAATATATTGCACTTAATGTAAGAGTAGGGCAATGTTGATTGCCTCATTGATAACTTATTCAAGCTCTAAAAAAAACTGTTAACTGGAGAAACATTTACTATTAATTAAGCTTGTGCAATTGACCTAGTTTCATATTGTTACAAATGATTCTGGTACTGACCCGTTCTTCCTGTACTTCTCACGAACATGTCTGCGGATCAGCGCGTGTTCCTGGCACTTACACTCAGTGTGATTGGCTATTTTCACCAGCACAGGCTCTGGTCCAGATTTATAAGGCGCCAGACTCACACTCAATATCTGTGAGGAAGAGGATGTCTTTTACGAACAGTCAAATGGAACAGTATGTGCACATAAAACACACATGTTAAAGGGATAGTTCAATCAAAAATGTAAATTCTGTCATTGGTTTCTCACCCTCAAGTCATTCCAAACCTGCATAACTTACTTCTGTGGAACACAAAAGGAGAAATTTTGAAGAATGATACTGGCCGCTCTTTTCCTTTAAATCATAATCGACAGCGACCAATGCTTTAAAATTGCAAAAAGGACATAAAATTGGCTAAAATGAGGGTAAGTAAATGTTAACAGAATTCTTTTAATTTGGGGGCTGAACTGTCCCTTTAAGACTGTGTAATTTGCTATTCACACAGAACACGTTTTTGCATATCACTGTGCTGCCTTTCCATTGTATTTCTATGTAAAAATGCGAGAGATGGACGTGTTTGACTGTTGCACTCGCATCTTTTGCAGCGTCTCACACATGACACAGCTTTCCACTGCACTGCTTTTCCATTGTTTTTCTAAATGCTAGACGGACATGTTTGAGCTTTGCGCTTACATCTTTTGCAGCGTCCCGTGCTTTCTAACAACGTGGCTCTAACTAAAGCTTCTACTTAAAAAAATGTGTCTCTAGACCTTATGTTGTTGGGGGTTTTTTTTCAATGCAAAAATTTTCTGTGTGAATGGGTCCTAAGATTGCATATTGAGTATGCTCTATATCAAATTCTTAATATGTTGAATGAACTGCACATTTCCATATAAATAAGCAAGTACAAACAGATTATATTGAACATTAATTTTTATGTAATACCAACGCATTCTCATCCTTTGGCGTCATAAAGGTGACGCCATATGACATTTCGTCGAAATCTTACGCACATGGCATCCTTTAGCGTCAATATAACACGCACTGTTATGGGTAGGTTTAGGGTAGGGTACGGTTATGACGCCTTGGGATCTGCGTCTCATATTCACGCAAAACGATGCCATGTGCGTTGGATTTAGACGCGCGTCACCTGTATGACGCCTTGGGTTCTGCGTCTCATATTGATGCTAAAGGATGCCACGTGCGTAAGATTTCAACGAAATGTACAAAGCGTCACAATGTATGACGCCAAAGGATGAGAACGAGCTGGTAATACCCACGCAATGCAATGAGTAGTGCTCACAGTTTTATTGACATAAGTCATGCTTGTATTACGGCAGGTAACTCCCTCTTTGTTGCAGCAGCCGCCACACCTGAAGACAGAGACGCACGGGGGCTTGAAAAACACTGCGGTATTGGTGCCCAACTCTTTAGCCACGTCTATACACGTCTCTCTGGGCATGCACTGTGTTTTCTGCCATTCATCATCAATATCTGAAAAAAAAAAAAAAAAAATACAAATACAAAAGTATATTTATACTTGTTGTACATTTGCCTTCACATTGCTAATCACAAATCTGTGTACTTAGACAACACATATTCTCAATTGTGTTTGCATGAAGGTCTCAACCTTTTAGCATCTCTGGGCTGAAAGATGCGGCCGCATAGCGAGTCGACCTGCGGTTCTCAGGTGGAGAGGTGTCGTCAAAGTGCTTCAGCTTGAGTCTGCATCTCCACAGCTTCCAGTCCGGGTATTCGGTCAACATCAGAAGCTCATCCAGACTCCCAGCTTCCCTCAGTTCTTGTTCCCACTTCTCCTGGTTTATGTCCTATGAGAGAAACACAATCTTGAATGATGACATTGGGGCTGCTGATTTTAGTACAGAGGCGAACAATTCTCCGAAGAATATGTTTGAGCCATGCTGAGCAAAAATCAGCCATAGCACAGCAGAAGTTAGATAAATCAAAGGATTAGAAAAATGAGTGCTCTAATTCTACTCAAATTAGAAACAGATTATTTCCCCTTGCATCATACAAACTCCCTGCTGTCTGTGAGGTATGTGAAGTCCTGCCACGATAAAAGGGCCAACCAGTAGGATATAACCATCAACACCATTCTGAGATAGATTTAAATGAGAATTCTGTCCACTAGAGGGCAGTATTGATAATGTTGAATTTCTCAGCATTTTTTGGCTGTGTAAAGAATCAGTATTACACTAGGGAAAGGATGCAGCTGTTCCTAACGTCATGACTTATATACCAGGGTTGCATCAGACCTTAAACGGCGCCTTAGTTTTACAACTGCAATATAATCCACAGAGTGTTCCCGCACAACTTGCTGAAAAGATCTATAAAATAATTTTACATGACTATGCAACCATCAGCATGGATGGCTGAATGAACTTGATTCATCTGAAGCAGTTCTAAAGCTCTTCTAAATGGACAATCATACAGAATTACGACTTTGCAAGGCTTACTGAATTTTAAGTTCTTTAGAACTTATCTAGAACTTTGTGTTCAGTCTATGTTTGTTGTCAGGCCATAAAGTTCAGATTTTCTGCTTTCAAACCAACGTGTTTAGCCAAACACACGGAACACCCTCTGGCAGAGGCCCACTCTAAACAACTGGAACATACACTCTATTAGCTCAGTATGGACCACCTGTTTAGAAGCTCAGTGAAGACACAGATCCCAGGGATTGGAGTTTGGGACGCCTGCCACCAATATGAACAGAAGATCATGGCTGCCTGTTTTGCAAAACATGGATTGAATAACTAGCCTACTAAGTGTCTAGTGACAGCTGCGGAAAAACCTTTACAAAGTCACCAGTGGTCACTCTTGCAATGACCAATGTCGATATTGATACCTAGAAAGTCAAGTAAATAATGGGCAAACCGTCAATATAATGCCAATAATATATTACACCACAGCTCTGTCTGGATGTTTCTTACTGGTCAAATGTGGGGTTCAATCTGATATTTCCTACTATACTACGGGGCTGTTGAATGCTTGAATCTGATGGCTTGATGAACGTTTTAAGGTGTGCAATTATTTTCAGGGAAACACATGGCTAAAGTAGTTCCAGACAGGTCTTGGCCACATTACAGTTCCATATCACTTCGCCAAATGATTTCCTTACAGCCAACAACAGCAAAAGAACCAAAACCCACAACGACACTGACCAAGCAAATAAATATAGTAAACATAAAAACGAAAAAATTATTTCCATGTTTTTGCCACAAAATTATGTTTTATTATGTATGGAAGGGACATACTATCTTTCCCCCGCTCTCTCTCCCACTCAAATGCACAGTCGCACACACACATAGTATATAGGACACCGACACACTTGCACAGAAACGTGTTGTCAGCGAAGCTCTGATGATTTTATCACTAAATAGTTAAGCAAGTTAAGTTACATGACAATTCACTAGCACTAAAAACGGCACGGTTTTTGAAGCAGAAAAACTTAGTTTCGCTGTAAGTTTCGTTACAGTCCTCGTCTTGTTGCTAGGACAATTGTTTTGTACACTGTGGTGGACTATTTGTTTTCTTAACAGAAGCGGAAAATTATATTCAAATAAGATTATAAAATAACTTCATAATTTTCAAATCAAATCAGTATTTCATTTCCACGCATTTATTTATTTTGTGAGTAGTCAAGTGATAAGGGTGATAATGTACAGTTACTAGGAGCCAATCGCAAAAGATAGGCTACCACGGAGCTTTAGGCCTCGATAAAACTGAATAAAATGTACACAAATCATAAAAAACAAATGATTTGATGAGCATTTATTTTATACAATATTAGCTTGAAACTCATTAATAATTAAATATATAGGCATCAGGGGTGGAACGGTACATGTATTCGTATTGAACCGAAACGGTACGGGCGTCACGGTTCGGTGCACGAATTTACACGGAGAATAGGCCTACACGGTATAAAAATAAATAAAACTCGCGTGGAAATTAATTAATGTAATGCGGAACTACTGTTAGATACGCGGGTTCTCTAGGGACACATAATCTGTACCATCGGCTTAGCTCTGAACGCGCGTTCACTTCAAACGTTGGCTAACTTGGCTTTAACGCGCGTCCTATTCGCTTTGGACTAGCGTCGAACTAGACGCGATAGATGCGAATTTGACGCTCTATTCGCGTTTGGTGTGACCGCAAAATGAACAGGCTGCGATGTAAAGATTGCAATGCTGGAGTGTGTGTGTGTGTGTGTGTGTGCGCGCGCGAGAGAGACAGAGAGGCGCGGGCGCGACCGAACAGTGGAAACATAATAAACATAGGCTACTCCGTCATTTTGTTCATACAGATCATTAAACCTGCAAAGTGTTTACTTATATTTGTGTACACTCGCAATAAAACACAGCATTGTGCTTTTGTCACACTCTAAACTCTTGTCAAACTGTAACCTACAACTGTCACCCAACCAAAATCACACACACACACACACACACACACACACACACACACACACACACACACTGTTTAAAAAGCAAAACATATTTATCCAACTCCATTTCAAAACAGTCTGTGGGTCCCATCTTTTGGACATTCATCATATCGCATTGGTTTTCATTTCTCGTCCTCGGAGCACTAATCTTACACATTCTACATTGATTAAAAAAGAAAATCGAATGTGTTTTTAATGGTAGTATTATTTTATACAGAAATCAATTATTTATAATTCAGATGAGAATAATGTTACATTGTTAATTAATAATGTTAATTAAAATTAAGGAAAACAAATATATTGATCTGAAATATAGCTAATTAATTTAAAATTAATTCAGGTACAATTAACAAACATATCGCAAGGTCTTTTTGTCTTTTTATTAATTTAATTAATAAACTAATTGTATAAAACTATTGTCAGTGCACTACAAATAAACTGGTTCAATGCCTTTATTAATAAAACTTATTTAAAAAATACAATGCCTTCTGCATTTTTGTTTTGCTTTTCCCTCCATTGTACCGAAATCGTACCGAACCGTGATGTCTGAACCGAGGTATGAACCGAACCGTGACTTCTGTGTACCGTTCCACCCCTAATAGGCATATATATGTTGCAGTACTTATTAATCGGACATGCATGGGTACTTTTTTGTCCAGCCTGATAAATACATCAGTCACCTATACCCTATATATATATATAATATATATATACAAAACAGAAGAGCAAGTGGACAGAGTTTATGGAGAAGATTATGCCCATGGTTTGCTGGAGTGCATTTACACACAAACCCCAAAGTCTACCACCTCTCAATCAATACCACATGAGTTATTGAGAATATTGAGTTAAGCAGGCAAAAACCAGCACTGGCTTGGTTTTGATTGTTTACTACACACCGGGTGTGTCCCACAAAAAAAAAGGCTGAAAAAAAAAAAAAAAAACAGCAATAGAGGCCAAAGGACTTCCAAATCCCAATCATGCTTTTATGAGACGGGAAAGCCACAAAGCGGGCGGAAAGTAAAACAGCCGAGGCTGGGATGGAGAGGGTTGACACGCGATATGGAAGTCATCATAAGAGAAGTCTCGCATCCTGCTGTCGTGTAGTGACATTATCTTCTATGATCCCTTCAGTATGTTAGGGCGGAGACGTCTGCTTCCACTTACCCACACAGACAATGCAACAACAAACAGAAAGAGCGAGAGAATGAGGAGGGGTTTAAAAGAAAGAATATGAGTTACAACTGTGAATTTTCCCTGGACAAGCTTAATGAGGTAGAGGCCCCTAACAAGGAAGAATAAACTAAACGGGTGAGAACAGTGAGAGTTTGAACATATAAAAGACCCTACGACGCCTCAGGCTCCACTTGGATACTAGGCGACATGCCACACACACATACTAACACTGCCTCTTTATGGAGAGTATATGTAAAAACTAATAGGATATTATGCTATTGCACCACTGCTTGGAACTCATCACCCTTGCCTTCTTATGTAACCTATAATTGATATACTCACAGACATACACGCACTGAAAAACAGATGAATGGCCTTAACAGCTTGTCTTTGGAAATTCTTATAGTAGCCATATGGTTCCCCAGCGTGCTTCCAGGGGAACCATAAATCTTACCACAAAAATTGCAATTCCAAACATTTTCATTGACTTCAGACTGATTCAAGCCTCATTTCCCAAGGTAACATTCAGGAAAATGATCAAATTTGCTATTAAGTCACCCGAAGGTCACAGCAGGAGGGCCCATCCGGCCCTTCTGAGCTTGCAACAGGTCCCTGTTCAGTGAGTCAGCGCAAATTGACGTATTTTAAAGGGGCAGTTCACCCAAAAAAGAAAAAAGAAAAAAAAAGTCAGTGGGGTCAAATATTGTTTTAGACCCCTTTGACTTTCATTGAATGAATAAAAACATTATTTAGAATATATACACAGAAGAATGAAAGTCATACAGGTTTGGGATGACATTGAGGTGAGTATACTCTTAAAAATGAAGGTTCTTTATTAGCATTTATGGTTCCATTTAGAACCTTTAACATCACTGGAATCTTTTCATTAAACAACTTACATTTTTATAAATGTTCTTAGAGCTAAGAAAAAAATTGATATTTTAACAACTGTTCACTGAAAAGTTATTTGGGGAACCAAAAATGGTTCTTCTACGACATCGCAGCACAAAAAAAAAAGCCTTTCGGGACATTTGAGAGTATAAATGATGACAAACTGATTCACAACTAAATATGGACATTATAACAATTATAAATGAAAACTATGTTGAATTAAACCTCAGTACCATTCAAATTCTACTGTGAACAAAAAGTGTCCTGTAGTTTTTGCAGCTCTTGGTGTTCTAAATGTATGCTGAGATATGCTATACTCACTCTTAGGGGTCTGTAGGCATCCACTGCTAGCATCAGTCTGACATACAGGAGTAGCAACATGTGAAATCCAGCACATTTCTGTGTCTTCATCCTGCTACTTACTCTCCAGGGTACCGTCCAGCAATTAAGCAGCGAGGGGAAGCCAGTCTGCGTATACACTCACGCACACTCACAAATCACGCGGCAGGTTTCTCAAACAGGACCACACAGGCGCACCAAGAGAGACCTGTGAAATCGAGCTTTCCGGAGCCAAATGGGATCTCCTCTTTAAAAAAAAAAAAAAAAAGAGGAGGAGAAAGAGGCATCAATCAGTGCTGGTCTAGGACAGAACTTGGCTGAGGAAGAACTTCTCAGTCTTTCCCTTCTGTTTTGTATGATTCTTTCTGATCAGGACGACCCCTTGGTATTGTCATCCGTCTTGGACCGGCCAAATTTGGCCCAGTGTCTCCACAGACCCAGATTGTGTGTTTGCAAAATCCGCCACGGGCTCACATCCAGTATTCTCCAGCCGCCAGTGCGTGCAAGGCCATCTGGGAGGCGTGCATGTCTGTCCCGTCGATGTGCGCTCCAGTCCCACTCCACTGTCACGTTTCCTGCTTGCAGACTTCCAGGCTCAGTTGCTCACACACAGGAACATGTGGTTTTAAATGTGATCCAGACCTCTATGGAGGACAAGGAGTGAAGGAGGGGGAAGAGGAGGAGGGGGGAAGGGGGAACGGAGGGATGAAGGGAGAAGAGAGAGAGTGCGAGGAGAAGAGAGACTGTATCCAGCCAATATCCCACTTAAATGCAGCAAAGTGGCGGGATGAAAAAGGAGGGGAGCTAAGCCGACATGCCCGTTCTCTCGATCTCTGTGTGCACTCGTCACTCTCAAGCAGATCCAACAATGAGCTTGTAATACGAATCGGGAATTAGAGGAAGCTTTACTGCAGCGTAATGGGCTGTGAGTGCCATTCTCTGCACCCACACTCTACGTGCTCTATCGGATCATCTAAATGCTTTTACTTTAAAAGCTTCAGAAGAATCTATTATCAGCGGTCAAAGGAATCTATTACCCGATTGTTTGCGTAGATCGGACATGGTCGCTTTAATAAAATGTGGATGAAATGTGGTCAAATATAAGGAAATCCTCAGGGTTAAAGGAAGCTTGCCACAGATATTAGATAAAGGAAATCACGTTGAACCAGATACAATGTGAACCAGAGCCAGATGCAAAATAAAAACAGAAATAAATAGTCAAATGATATATTTTTTAATTATAAGAATTACAGAGATTTTAGGTGATACATCAGACTAAAAATCCTTTGTTACAATCAGAATTACATCAGAAATTTGTGTAACATGTTGCATATAGTGGCCACAAAACGTATTTGCACCCTTAAAAATATATAAATCTTTTAGTTGGAATTTCTGCTTGAAAATAAGTGCCACTTTGTATTTCAAAAGTATGATTTAAATATCCACTTTTTGAGGCTGCCCAGTTAAAGTTAAAGGCACAAAAAAACAAAAACAAAGCACATACTGGATATATACTTATAGAAGGGGATATTTATGCAAACTTTAGAACTTTTGACTAATCTTTGATTTCCAAACTTTTGCCCTCTCAAATCCATTAGTGGCTGATCTGAAATCTGAGATGGCCTGATCAATCTCTTCTTGTGTGTTCATGACAAAGGGCCCTGAAACAAACAAATAAATAAGTCCTCTGTATTTAGAAAAATCTAAAAATTGCATAACACAAATATCTATTTTTATATAACAAATAAATAAGCAAATATATCTTAATGTAAATAAAATAAATGTATAAGCAATATACAGTATATGCAAATTAACACTGTCAATTTAATGTAAATTAAAAAAAGCATTCTTGTCCCTTCATCCATGTAAATAATATTTGTATAATTAAAAATAAAATCTTTATTTGGGATCTTTTCTCAGCAAATACTGATTTATGCAACAAATTGAATTTGATTAATGATTAATTAATGATTAATCATCAAATCATGCATTTAAAATCAATTACAAATATTTAATTGTTTGATACCCCGAATTCAAATATTTGGTCATTAAAATGTGGAATATTACCTACCTCTACCATTATAACTTACCATGCTTAACCACAGGCTCATTAATTGGTTCACCAGCAATTAACACAAAGTGAGACTCCTCCTCTGCCTAGAAATAATAATGAAGGGAATAAAGAGACTGAATTTAGACTTAACCTGAACTTGTATAAAAAACAGAGTAGCTTTACAGGAACAATAGGAAAAGAAAACCTTGTTTTCCACTCTGACGCATTCACCATCTTCCAAAACCACCGTGTGGTGTGCTTCAATCGTCCGCAGATCGTCTTCGGGGCCTGAGGGGAATTCAAACAGCCAAAATAAATTTCACAATCCTATACAAATTATGTTATAAAACTAGTTCTATCATGACAATTCTGCATGATTTTTAGCATGGTAATGGATATGACAATGCTAATGTATTTGGTCTTGGCGGAATAGATCTGCCACATTACTGCTGAATTGCTGCTGATGATGATTATTGCTGCTGCTGCAGAGCAAGTACAGGAACTTGCTACTGCCAATACACATGCCAATACGCTGCTGTGAGTATGTAAGACACACTGCTGCTGCACAAATTGCATGTATCAATTACCCATAGCAGATCTATACAGGTGGAGCTGGGGAAGGTGGAGGGTTTTAGAAGAACTCTGAAAGTGTGCTGCAAACTGCTATAGTGAATGGTAACCAGCCATTCAAATGTTGAATAGCAAGCTCATTGGCTGCAGATGCGACATGAACCAATCAGCTTGTGTCACGTATTTAACGCTGTAAATATCGGTCTCTTCTTGGCCACCTCCACAACCTCCTGCTCAAAGGCTGGGAAGGGGGCATTATATCGCAAGATATGCGAGACACTAAGGGTGTACTCACACTAGCCAGTTTGAACCGTGCCCGAGTGCGTTTGACCACCAAAGCGCGGTTCGTTTGACTAGTGTGAGTGCTCCAAACCGTGCCCGGGCGCGGCTCGATTAGCCGGCCCTGGCCCGCTTGGAAGAGGTGGGCCAGAGCACGGTTCAGTTGGACTCGGGCGCGGTTCGCATGCAGTGTGAGCGCTAACCGTGCTGGAGCACGGAACAGGACGCGTGACGTCATGGTTTTGCCACGCTCCAAAACCAACACAGTCCGTAATCAAAGCTGCAAAGTCCTTGCTGCACTTCAGCTGGTACCTTGCAAACCTCCTCATACGAGCAGCACGATTACGTGTAAATTTTCGCCCCACTAAGGCGACGCATATGTTGAACAACAGGCTGTGGACCACCGTGGACCAAACGACACAAAATTATCCACAAAGAAAACAGAGCGATGGACTTCATTGTGTTCAGAGAGCGCCGCTCTTCTTGTTTATCCCGAAACCGTCGCACGCACCATAATGACGTAAGCGTGCTCCGGCACGAATGCTGAAACCCTATGTGAGTGGCGGCCAGAGGGGGAGTGGGGAGGGGGGACAATCGTACTCGGGCCCGGTTCATGGCAACCGTGCCTAGTGTGAGTACACCCTTAGATCCTGACGCTTTATAAGAACAAGGGCGATCGCAGTGACTGCAATAACTATTGTGGGGAAAAACAACTGCAATAACCTCCTCAGTGTTGTGGGGAACGCCTTTGCACGTGTCATCCTTAACCGCCTACAACTGCCCGCCGATCGTGTGTACCTTGAGTCGCAATGCGGGTTCCGAGCAAAACGGTCAACAATTGACATGGTGTTCACCCTTAGGCAGCTACAGGAGAAGTGCCGTGAGCAGAGACGTCCTCTGTTCCTTGCCTTCATAGACCTGACCAAGGCGTTCGACATGGTCAGTCGGACTGGCCTCTCCACTCTCCTACACAGGATTGGATGCACACACTGAGGGTGCCCTCCAGCGACTTATCACCTGTTTTGCAGATGCATGCACAGAGTTTGGCCTTGCCATCAGTATCAAGAAAACCAAAATAATGGTGCAAGATGTCAACACCACTCCTGAAATCACTATCAGCGACCACACCCTGGAGGTAGTGGAGAATTTCACATACCTTGGCTCCACCATCTGCAGCAACCTATCCTTGGATACTGAGCTCAATATAAGGATAGGCAAAGCAGCCACGCCATGGCTCGACTAGCAAAGAGGGCTTGGGATAACACTCTATTGACACTCAAAACAAAACTGAAGGTGTATCAAGCATGCGTCTTGAGCACCCTACTCTATGGCAGTGAAGCTTGGACTCTATATTCTCGCCAAGAGCAAAGACTGAATGCCTTCCATATGCGCTGCCTCAGACGACTCCTGAGCATAACCTGGCAGGATCGTATCACAAACATAGCCATCCTGGCCCAGGCAGGTATGCCAAGTGTGTTCACCATCCTTACACAGAGGCGACTGCGCTGGCTTGGTCACCTGTGCAGGATGGATGATGGTCGTATCCCAAAGGATGTTCTGTACGGGGAGCTTGCCACAGGAATACGACCATCTGGACGGCCGACCCTGCGCTATAAGGACGCCTGCAAGCGAGATTTGAAATCGTGCAGCATCTGTCCGGCTGATTTGGAAGCAGTGACATCGGACCGCGAAAATTGGCGATCCACCGTTAAGACTGGTGTCCTTTTAGCCGAAGAAAAAAGAGCAATGCAGTGGGAGGAGAAGAGGACTCGCCGGCAGCAAAGCGTTCAGCCTGTTCCCATTGACATCACCACTGCTTACACCTGTAGCAAGTGCCAGCGGTGCTGTCGCTCCCGTATCGGACTCTACAGTCATAGTAGAGTCTGCAACCAAACCACAGACTGACGTGGGTGCAGATTCTAAACCATTGTCTCTCGAAGACAGAAGGATGCCAACAACAACAACAACAAATATCATCAGCTTGCATTAAGGACCCATCAGCCTATGCCATCTAGAGTTTTATGACAGAACTAGGCTTTTATACACCATAAATCATTTGACATAACAGCTCAAGGCTGATTCAAGGTGGTTGAAGAACAAATACCCCACAAACCAGAATAAATAAGATAAAATGTATGCAAGAGATGTGCTTTGTAGGGTAAAGATGGTCACGCATCGCATCCCACCCACTTGTGGTCTGTTTCTCAACAGCTGCTCAATTTATGCTAAATGCATTTCAGAGAAAAATGAAAATACAAGATTCATTTAGAAACTCCTTTGAAGTCACAGGTGGAGTGTTCACTCTTAATGATTGTGTGTTTAATTTCCTACAACCTGGAAATCATCAAAATCAACCTGATAAATCAACATATCAAACACTGCTTTGGCAATCTCATTTCTCAATGTGAGAGTTTAGAGTTGCCATTGGCACAAGATCATAGGAATAGTCTAAATGTCTGTCAGATGTCCAAGAGAGAGAGAGAGAGAGAGGAAGAGAAAAAGAATCATAAAGCACCTGCTCGAATTTCAAGGTCAGAAAGCTGCTATGGTAGTGGATTTGCCTGCAGGAGGACAAAGTTTCTTTTTATGCGGTCTTCATTTGAACTCACCAGTGCATAAAGAACCTGTGAGGGTGTAGATGAAAGCGGTCCAACCTGAGAAAGGAATACGATAATTAAAACAATGGAACTATATCATTATAAAATAATAAGTGTAGGGGTAATACACTTTTGACATTGAGATAATTGTCAAAAAGTGACTCAATTTACATGAATACGTTAATATACAGTGGGGTCCAAAAGTCTAAGATCACACTGAAACCATGAGATTTAAACCCGTAATAAAATCGGAAGATGTAAGATTTTTACATTTTTAAAACAACCAAATATAAAGTAAAATGAATAACATGTATCCATTAAATAATATAACGTTATGCACACAGCCATTTATATGATAACATTTTCTTTCTTGATGTGACTTAGGCCATTCTGAGGCTACATGTGGATGCACACGGGACCAGGATTGAAAAGCCTGACCCAACCTTTCCAACAGTTTTTTGGGGGTCCTTGAGTGATTTTCTGTGGTCAGTTTCTGATAATGATGTACAGCATGCTCAATACTGATGCCAGTCGGCTAAACTGTATCGTTAAGAACACTTTAAGTGTGAGTCAAACTGTTCCATGTATACAAGAACACTTCATACATTTGGATTAGTTGTGTTACTTGACATCTTGCCACTTTTGTATTGAGCAAAAATTAAACAATACTGTCTTTTCCCAGAACTTTGAGTGAGGTATGATGTTTTACAGTTACGCAATTTCTAAGGAAAATTAAGACTCATTTCTTGCAAAATGTGTTTGCCTTTACAAGGTTTCCCTGTTAAACCATATTTATGACAAAATTGTGAACAAGCCATTTAATTTTGCTCTGTAAGTAACTTGGGATTTACTGGAAAACTCTCCCTAACATGGGGGAAAACACATGTAATTAAAAAATACATCTGATAATCATCTTTTACCTTTAGGAACAGGCTGCACATGCTTTGCACCTTCCTTCAGCATAAAGTCGAGGTACATGGTTGGAGTTCTCGTGTAAACCTTTGACTGACAACAGAAATAACATGTAAATACCACAACACAATGCTTTATTACAGCAGAAGACTACTGTGACAACAACATTTTATGTTCTTTATTCATAACATATCCATTTTTACCAGATTTCTTTATTGCTACAAGACAAAAAAACTAGATAAATTGTTCAATATTGTTTAAATTATGAGCTCTAACAGATGTAAAAACATTGTGTGTGAGTTCCAGTGCATATCTGGTTCCAGTAAGCCCAAGTATTTGGCTGACCCACATTTAACTTCAGCGCCGCATCCACCCCTCTGCCCTAGAGAAACCCTCCATAACCACAGTATACATTTAAAACATTTCGCAAAAACCACTTCCAATGAAGCCTGCTCCAAATTTCCTGCTGTTGTCTGAGAGAGCCGGCAGAGGATGGCCTTGCAGCAGCAGTTAGCGTGATGAACCCCAGTATCAGATTGTAATTCGGACGTTCCGATTGGATGAAACATTTACAAAGGAGTCGGACGTTTGGATCAAACATTCAGTGATAGCTGCTCACTGTGACTCAAAGGGTCTTGTTTTTTGCCTTAAATCAGATGAGAAAGGCCAGACAGAAGCGTGGGTAATAGCTTCAATGTGTTGATAAATGGATGGACAAATGAACATGTTTGCAAAAAAAAAAAAAGATGCAAGTGTCAGGGAGATGGAGGCGCACAGACTACTTTTTTTCACTTAGTGGTTTGGTTCATAGAGTTTAGAATAATTATGAGGAGCATGTTTTTAATCACCTAATAAACAAGCAGTCCTCATGGCTGGCAAAATCATCCATACTTCAGATTAATGTTTCAGTATATCAGAAAACTACAGAGACAGTTCCAACCTCCACCTTTTTATTCCAATAAACAACTTTTTAAATCATTTTTGGAGGTTTTAACATTTTTTGATAGTGAAAAGAGAGATATGAATGGAAACTATGTGAAGAAAGACAAACAGGATTGAGGCCCTGTCCCAAATGGCACACTTCATATGCATTAAAGCACATGAGCACCATGTCGCGTGGATCAATACGCCATTTCATGTTGCATTTTTATTGGCTAGTCAGTAGAAACAGGTCGTAGCAGCAAACACAGTGTGAGATAATCATGCTAAATTTCTGACGCTGTCAGAAAATTAATCGCAGGCTATCTTTGGTCGCAAGACCGTGGCAATGTTCGTCTTTGAAATCTCTCACTGTAGGACCACTGTTTAGGAGGATGGTCACGATTGGTCATCTTTCATCTTGGACAGTTCAATGTGTACCGGGCATAACTCTAATAAATGATTCACAAACTAATCAGACATCACTTTAGCTTGTGAGCTAGTTTGATTCTACACAAGCACAACTTGTAATTAATTTTAAGATTTTATTAATTGGAAATCTCTGATGTTTCTATGACCATAAAACACCTACCTTAACTCCAAGAGCTTCCCCTGAGATGACATTCACAGTGACTCCATCTTTGCTGGGTTTGGGAATCTCTTTGCTCTTCAGCTCCTGGTACTGAGGCTCCACCATCTTATCTGCACTTTTCAGGTTCACCCAAAGCTGAAGGCCATGAATGCGTCCGTCTGACACAGGCATCTCAGCATGAACCACCCCACGACCTGCCGTCATCCACTAACACAACAGAGAACAAATACATAGCCAAGTAAGAACAAAAACTAATGTTTTATTCTATTCCTAATGGTAGACTTATCTGGTTGTAATCACCAATAAACAGACTAACCGCTTGGTTTAGTGGCTTTTACACTGGTTAATGTCATCTTCATGTTGAGCATGAGAGATGTTTATGAGCTTATATTTCAACGTAAAAATGAACCACTCCAGTTTTACGACAACAGCTTAATATGCCTAATGGCGCACTTTTCTTTCTCCTCTTCCTTTCTCGTTCTCTCTTAGTGAAAGTTTCCACTCCTTCTGAGGTTTAGTAGCTATTGTGCAATAGGTGGTTTGAGTTATAGCGTGAAACACTCAGCAGTTTTTTTCTTCACTGCTCTCCTGGTATTATGAGGGAGTCCCTTATGTTTGATGGTGAGCCAGTAGCCCCGGTAGCTGGAGGTGAGGTGCGAGCTGTAGTTAAAGTAGTGAGTGCTACAGACCTATTAAAGGCCCATTAAAATTCCCTCACTGATCCGGGAGAAAGTGAGACAGCTTTACGACACAGGAAAACATAGGAAGTGCCCTACGGGTATACGAGCTCTTAGTCCATTTGGTGAGCGTGTGTGCATGGATATAAAATCCTATTAAATGTAAATACATTTTGTTATAGCTTTCATTTTAATTCATTTGAACTTGCATTTTTACAGCATGCATATAAAAAATAAAAATGGTGGCTTTCATTCTATCTATGAAAGACTTTCCCAAGTGTAACTACATACTTTTGGTGTACTTTACTTTTGGTTCACTTTTTTTTCTTTTTTTTTTTAAGTAAAAGGTCCTTTTAAAACAACATTAGATATTAAGAGTCAGATTTACTAACAGCTTGCGCCAGCGCAAATCCTCTTTTGGCGTTATACAAACGACTGACAGGATTTACTAAGACACTCAGTGAGAAATTAGCGATAAAAAGGCATCGATTTTTGCATCTGACCTTGTTGCATATGCATTTGTTGGAGTTTCCCTATCAGACCGCTAAATTTATGGGCGGAGAATATTTAAATGAATCATGCAACGTGATTTCCTGAGGTTTGCAGTGGTCAATTTCAATTGATAAAACCGCCAATTGACAAAAGACTTTACGCAGCAAGCTGTCATACGGAATTAAACTAAGCAATTGCACATTTATTTATTGTGTGATCTGGCACGAAGCCAGCGAATTTAAACACAGGCAATATAAAAACAAAGAGGATGATGTGAAAAAAGAGAGCAGAGTTTTTAAACATTTATGATACGGGCCCTCATGTTTTGCATTGAGCTGCCATTGTAATACTTATGAGTTCTGACACATGACTGCCCTTCCACAGACTACCTTTCGCAGCTCTTGATAACAAGTGTGTAAGATCTTTGAAGCGATTCCCGTGAGTGCAGAATTGTGACGAATGTTGATCATCTGAATTCCATGTGGTTTGTGCTGTTCACACTGTCATGAGAATATTAGTCACACACAAAAAAAAAACTGATTTGGGGCACATTTACCTGCAGTCTGGTTTTGACGTCATTCCTGCACCACACTATTGTCAATAGTGTAGTGATGAATGAAGCACAGCTCACACAGAAATCTCTTTCAGACTAAGAAACGGCGTCAACACTGCAAATTCATGTGACCAACCTGAACCCGTCGAAAAGTCTGCTTGGGAAAATTTTTCACCCTCATGGAAAATTTTTACATTTCATCTGCACAAATTCGCTAAACAATGGTAAATATGACAGCACCTTAAGTAATGAGTGTTTCATCATTTCGAGAGATGGTAAGGAGGTCTCAATGTTGTTCTACCTGAAGGTCCCCAGGCTCCAACCTCCCACTGTGACCACAGAAGTCTTCATGGGCTGTTACTCCACTCAACAAGTAGGTTACCTGTGAAACAAATTTAACACAAATGAAAACAAACCCCTCACATCTGAAGTATTTTAAAAAGAGGGATGAGGTGTAAGATTCTAGTTTTCTGAAAATGAAGCAGTTTCTTGGGGAAAAATTCTCGCAAAAGACAGAAAGTATGGAAAAGTCATCCACTTGATGTTCATTTAGAGAAAAATAAACATGTCAAAAGTCGTACAGGTGAAAGGTGAAACATATTTCAAGGGCTGTGTTTGCAGAGTAGACAAAATTTTATGTTCATGGGATTTTGGTAAAGCCCTGATGGACTATAAAGTTAAATGCAAAAAGCAGATATATCCCACGCAGTAAGATGGAAAATTAAAATTGTTAGTGAGTGAAGTTGACGATGAATATTTGATCAAAATCTTACAGTTAATAATTCTAGCACAAATACAAATATACATGTTTTATGGATGCCCAGTAAAGGTCTTTCACGCACCATCTAAAACATAGTTCTTCCAAGCCAAGATAGAGATAGAGGCTTGATGCTAATGTGTCATTATCTAAAATTTGCATATATTACATAAGCATGTTTTCAACAAAATCTGCCTGCAGCCGTTTCCCATTTGTCCACTGAAAAAAAGCAAAAATGAATCTCCATGGTCAGCTGAGGTGGTCCGACATACAGCCTGGAGGGATTGCATGTCATCTCCCACACAGACAACGTTGCTCTCAACAGGATACGGGATGCGGGGTAAGAGGTCAACATCTGACCCCTCAGAGGCTTGCTTGACCTGTGGCCACAGGCAGCCTGTGATCTCTAAGCACAGCTGTGATCTGATGGTCACGTGACAGTTCGCGAACAAACACACCTGCGTGTCTCAAGCAACATAGATAACCCGATGAACAGCCTGGACATTTGTGCTTCACAGCCTCGTTTTAATTTGTGTATATCCTATAACTAAAGTCCATTGTATAGCGTTTGTCTGTGTTATATATTCCTGCAAAACAAATTACCTCTTTAGAAGGAATAATGTTTATTTTGTCCAGGATTTGGCTTTAGAGGGCTCTCTTAAATAGTCATTTCCAGCAAGTCTTACAAATATTAGAAGACAAATCCATTCGTGAAGGAAGGTGACACAGAGTGACTCATCCTCTATAAGAAATGATATGAGAGTATATCTGTGCAGATGGCAATTGATGACATCACACTCATAAACAAGTCTAAATGATTTCCACAGCCGCATTGACCGCTTTCCATAGAAACAGTTTATGCTAGACATGTTGCCAAACTGCGAGTAAACAAATGAGTACATCAGATGTTGTAAATAAAAAATCAAGGAGACAAATTCAGAGGCTAAGTGAGTTGGTCAGCTTTTCTTTAGTCAAGTTTCAAATAATACTCTCAGGACCAGATCTGGCCAAAACACTGTAATTTTGAAGGAAGCGTTTTTAATGACCATACATCCTCTCATATTGAGTGAGCAGAACTTGAGTACTCAAACTGCCAAAAACAATGGGAGTGGTTTACTGGATGATCTATATATTCTCGCCAGCTTGCCTTTTCATATTCTTTTCTGTGTTTGGACATTGCATTTCAAAGGACTTGTTCCATAAAAAGAATTCTCATTCTAGAAAGCATCTGATTGGGCAAAAGTCTATGTAGTGCAGGATGAGTCATCAATATTGTTGGTTTGTTACATTTTAAATGCATATCTCTTCAGTTATTTTTGTTTAGTTTAAGGTCAAGGTAAACTTTACTATCCCACAAGGGGAAATTCATGTGGTCATTCATTACGCGCCCTTGTCACAACACATTCTCTAAAAACATAAAAAACAACACAAACACAAAAAGAAATGACAATACTGCAGAATTGACAATCACAATCCAACATTTAACGCTAAAAAAAATGTATAATATTATCAAGTGACTAAAACTATGATAACTTGCGATGTACTTGATCATTATATAATCTGATCGCTGTAGGTACAAATGATTTAATTGTACCTTTCTGTTCTAATTCTCTGTTGTAAAATTCTACCAGTTGACCTATTGCTTCTCATAAATTTATGATGTAGAGGGTGAGTAGGATCTTTAAGGATTTGATCAGTTTTTAAAAAAAAATAAGCTCTTTGTATAGTTGAGCTACCGACACCTGGTCAATTCCGATGATCCTGCTGGCCATCTTAATCATGCGCTGCAGTTTCCTTTGGTCCTTAACATGCATGTTGCCAAACACACAGATAAGGCCAAAGGACAGAACACTCTGGAGGAGACTTTTCTAAAACATTACAAGAATGTGTCTTTCTAATCTAAAATTATGAAATTTTCTAAGGAAGTACATCCGTTGGTGCATTTTCTTAGTTTTATTCAGTGCACATTCATTAAAAGTTAATTTCGAATGAATTTCAATTCCCAAGTATTTATATGTTTAGTTAATTTTGTCCATGTTTTGGGAGTACATAAACAAATAGACGACCTCATCGCTAACATACATGAACTAAAAGCCAGTTTGGGCGACTGTGCTGTGATAAAATATTAAGAATATGAGCCCTCTAGTGGTCAAGAGGTGTCATAATTGTCATTTTGATGGGTCCACATTCTTCTATTTTAACTCATTGCATAGTGTATTTTGAAAAAACTGTTAAAATTTTCTCATTATTTAAGGAGAAATGTAATACTTAATTCAGACGGCTTGCAGGACCATCATTCATAAACACGCAGAACGGTGTTATCACGTTGTACCTGTTACTTTTATCAGCGATCCTCTGAGTGGACTAATCATAACCGTTTTTCATTCATTACCTAGGACATGAGTCCTATTTAGATGCCCCACAGTAGGCCTAAACAGATTTCCGGTTGTTTGCCAGAATTTTAATTTTTTATTTAGTAGAATTAAACAGTTACACATTTAAGTGTACCAACGCACTTCGTAAATCAAAAATAAAAGTCCAGGATTTAGCTTTTTGAGCCGTCATGCGCCCTCTGGCGGAAGATCCGTGTTGTCCTGGCCGGGAGCAACAATTGGTTTACATTAATCCACTAATAATTTCAGTTGATTTAATCTGACTGCACGAATTCATGGATTTGACAAGTGTCACCCTTTCCATGACAGCAATGCAATGATACATAGTTTTAAAATACACGATTTAATAGCGTTTACCGTCTCAAAGCCACGGTGAGGATGATCAGGAAAACCCGCAGGTTTGGCGATACAGAATTCATCCAGCATCAAAAAAGGGTCGAGATTCTGCAGCTGAAATCAATCATAATGCAGTTTATGTATTGTGCATTTCGAAGCAAACACAACTCCGTCATACGAAAGTGATCAAACCAGCACCTCGTTCCGTCCAATGCTTCTGCGAACTCGAGCTCCGACGCCTTCAGACTGTTCGACACTCAAAACCACCTTAGAAACTCTTCTCATCATCATAAACACCTTGGTATCTACTTATGGTCACAATATTTTGCTTCAGCTCTGTTTGCGAGCGCCCATGTGCACCGGAAGTCAAAAGCTTATTAAGATGCACATTTATTTTTAAAAGAAAGCTCTATACTTTGTAATTTCATTCGCTGTCAGATTATCTGTATTCACCTATGACAGGTGTTTGTTTTATGTTGACGTTCTGGGTTTGCCAAGGCTTCCTTACACAGATCAGTCACAATGCCAGATTTTGATTATTTAAAGGCGCAGTGCAAGTCACAATGACTATGCAATATTTTGCACCACAACTAGTGACCGTGCATTTACATGTGACTAGCAGATTTATAAAAATGCTTGTAATTTATTTATTCATCAACTTCTGTACAGTGCAGCATCTTAAAGACATTTCAAAGCTGTCACTCTCAGCATTTACCCCAGTGAATCATTCTCTTCTGTTATGGTCAGTGTAACACCTGAGACCGCGCATCCCTCCCTCTTCGCAGGGGGATTTTACAGCCACATGAGGCCGTGCATGTGTGATATGTACTCTTCAGTGCGGGTCTTCTCCATCCTTGCTGATGCACTCTCATCCAATCCACTGTGCTGAGCTATGATGTCTTTGAAAATGCGTATACTCGCAGCTTGACCCCCTGCAAGGTTTACAGCATGAGGCCCAACCTGTGGAATGTCATATATTTAGCCTATTTACTGTAAGTGCTTGTGTTGATGCTATCTACAGCCTAAAATATGACAGTGTTAAGGTGCCGTGCAGGTGTTATCTAGAAAATTTCTCAGTGATGACTCACTTCTTTTAGGTGTTTTGACCTTGTATGACACATTATATTACACAACAAGAGCATAACAGAACCTGTAGTGCTGCATATTGTCCCATCAGGTACAGGGGGCATCCTGCGGTCCATTGCAGTGATTTTGTTATACATGGCCAACCCTCCAGGACCTGTCAAGCAGGAAATGCTTTACTTACTTTTGTATCTTAGTTGGGCACATGACTAAATAAAAAACTCAGTTTTAAGACAGTATGAGAGAAATAACATTAAAGACCCTGGTCTATATTACATTGTGTATATAGTATTCATGTATTTACATATTTTTGTTATGATGCTTACATTGCAAAATCAATAAAATAAACATTTACATTATTATAAATTCACTTAAATTTATTCAATATTTATGAACATTAGCTTATTAACTTTGGTAATGATTTCACTTAACTATATATATATATATATATATGTGGAAACCGTGATCCTCTACCATTCAAAAGTTTGGGGTAAAAATCAAATTAATCCTTTTATTCAACAAGGATGCGTTAAAATGATCAAAGGTGACTTTAAAAGACAAAAAGATTTATATTCCAAATAAATACATTGAATTTTCTATTCATCGTAAAATACAGCTTTGCCTTCACAGGAATATATTACATTTGAAAATATATTAAAATATAAAACAGTTATTCTGAATTGCACTAATATTTCATAATATCACTGTTTGTACTGTATTTTTGATTTTAAAAAAGTCATAATTATTTAAAACTTTTGACCAGTATTATTTTAATAGTTTGAGATCAAATAATAATTACTGACCCCCTGGTTTAAAGATAATATTTTTGTAATAAGTACAAATGTCCATGAGCTCACTTGAATGGGGAATTTTGACATGACGTCAGAGAGTAAAGGGTCCTGGGTAACATCCAGTTTGCAGCCTGTTGCCAGCCAAATCTTTTCCCCAATCCACTGTTCGCCGCTGCACAGGGAGACCCTCCAACGCTGGGATTCATAACACCATTTAGCTTCAGTCACCTTATAAAGACATATTAATTATTAAAATATAGATATGATTTAGTTAAGAAATCCACTTTGGTACTGCTATGGACTCTCCTAGAACTTGGATATGTCTATGAACTTCGTTCTCAACTGTCAAAGACTCCTGACACAGCATCCCACATAAGCATAGCAGCCTTACAATATAAAGACACACCTGGCAGTGAGCTCTGATCTGGAGCTGGCCGCTCTGAATGAAAGGCTGAAGTTGTGAGTAGGCCTCGGGGGTCACAGCTCCTCCTTTTCTGGCTAGTTTTATCATTGCTAGCCTCTTGTGAAGACTTCTTTCATTATAGAACTGCCTTAGGTAGGCCAGGCCATCCATCTTGATCCCATGCTCAACGTGGGAATAGCGTCCAATCAGACTCTCTATATCCCCAACGTCAAACTGCTTAAGCTGAGAGAGTAAAATTTGGTAAATATCACTGAAATGACTACTGTGAAATCACATCGATCTCTGATAACCCCTCTGTAAACTTTAAAGTCGGCATGAAACAGAAGTTGTGATAGATTTTTCTTATCAAATTGTGCCGTATATCCAAGTGAAGTGGCTTCTTCAAGAAACAATGTAGAGCAGGACTTGATTTTGTTCATTGGGAATTGATTAGATCATTGGAGTTTGCCATAGCCGTGATCTCATGTGAGTGACAGGTTTTAAACACATCATCAGAGAAGAGATGTCGTTGCAATAGAGTGCTGCATGCGTGACGTCAATACCCGAAAAAAAATAGAATACTTTTAATGCGTTCTGGCATTGTCATTTACTTGACAATGCCATTTTGGGGGCCTGAAACGCAAACTTTTGAAAACTGGTTTTAAGTTTTTGAAAACAATACCCATGGTCTCTATGTCAACTATAAAACGTGAATTTGTGACCATGCCACGGTCAAATTCTTTACTTAGCCAATCAGAACACTTTTGAGGCGCTTTCTGCCTATCATGATTCCAATTCTGTGTCTTGTGTTTTGTAGGACTTTTATGTTGAAGTGTATTCTCAGTTCCCTTTGTTTCTGTGTTCATTCCTGTGGCCATGTTTGTAGTTTTATAGTTTTTCCTGTTGATTAGTCTTCCCAAGGTGTGTCTTGTTACTTATCTTGCTAAGCTTGTTTGCCCCTGTGTGTATATGTGTTCATTGTCTTTGGTCAGTCATTATGTCACGGTTGCGAAGGGACGAGAAGGGGCAAGAATCCAAATGCAGCACAGTTTATTTACAAACACAAACAAAATAATCCACACAGCATTTCCAGACCTAAGCATGAACAGGAATAACATCCAAAGACCAGGACCACCACAGCTTCACATGAACAAGCAACGAAAACGACTGACAAAAGACAACTGAACACAAGGGTATATAGGGGCAAACAAGCTAACTATGATAGCTAAGATAACAAGTAACAAGACAAACCTGGGGAAGACTAATAGGAAAAACTACAAACATGGCCACAGGAATGAACACAGAAACAAAGCAAACTGAGAACACACTTCAACATAAAAGTCCTACAAAACACAAGACACAGAATTGGAATCATGACAATTAATCATTATACGTGTTCAACTTCAAATCTGGCAGTACATATTGATCTATGGGAAACCGGAAGCTCAGTACGTTCGCGGGTTTGGAACATTTATATATATATATATATATTATAGCCTATGTTTGTAGTTTGAAATGTGTATAGTTTCTCATTTTTACACAATGGTTTAAACAGCCTAGAAGTAGAAAGGGTGAAGAAAATAAAGAGCAAGACAAGAGTGAACATCGATAAAACATTTCGATAGCCCCGTGGCTGGCTGCAGTATAGGTCTTACCGTCTTAAACCCCGCCCTCTCCATGTAATCGAATGGGACGCTATAGCTAAAAAGTCCTTTTAGGTCGTGCTCATCACACAGACCTATGTTCAAGCGTTTGTTTTACCAATAAGTTTGGTTTTAGTTTTCTTTTTTTTATGCTATAAAACTATAGGTTGCTGCTGGAAAAGTTAGGCAAGTAGGGGTGCTCAACCTGTGGTCTGTGTGGGTCCTAACGCCCTAGTATAGTGATTGGGACACTATACTGTCAAAAAGCACCATCCTTCGGGTGAAACGTTAAACCGAGGACCTGACCTTCTGCTCAACTAAAAATCCCAGGATGTCCTTTGAAAACAGAGTAGGGCTTTAATCATCCCCATATGCTATATACTGATTAACTTCATCACTCTGTCTCCTCTCCAATAAGCTGGTGTGTGGTGGGCATTAAACCTCCTTCAAATCATCATTCCATATTCATTTATGTGGCAAGTAGCAGGTCTTTAATCACAAAATAAATCCCTTCAGGATGATACAAGACCCCTAATCTTCGTATTGGGGGTCGTGACCACCCTGTCAGGGATTATTTGGTTATTTTATCATCTTATTCTACATTATCCCTTATGTTTGTTTACACTCAAATTGGGTGTAACTTACTTGTAAGTGTTTACGTAAGACCCAGGTCACATGACATGCACGCTGCTTCAGCGCAATTGAGATAATGTGGGCGCTGGTCAGACCTCCACCTACCACCATCACTCTCTGGCCCATCTGACACACAGCAGGAGAACCTGAGAACAAGAGTGTTTTCATTTCCTGCTCTGAATTATTTCCTAATAAGCCATGGTTCGGTTATTTGTTTGCTTGGATATCTGGATGATCAGGTTTTGATCACGTTTAGAAACCCACCTGAGGAGGGTTCACCCATCTCTTCATGTGTACAGAAGTAATGCATGAGCTGCACTGTGTGTTGCAGACTTTCTTCTGGGTAATTCTCTTGGATTGCCCGCACCCAACATGGGATGTTTGCCATCTGCGCCCTCGAAGGCCCTGTCGCCATAATAACAGCTTTTGCCTCTACGTTTTCCCCAGTGTGTAGCGTCGCCTTGAAAAACTTCACCTTGCTCTCATCCTCAGTTAACACTGGGATGATTCTGTCCACTGTAGCTCTGATTAAGACACTGTCCATATCATATTTGCGTACCTGGGTGAAAGTCCTTTTCAATGTAATGTAATCAATGTAATCCATAATTAAGTTATTTCATAGTGAATTTATTATTCAACATTTATATTTAGTGTAGTATTAACACACATTGCATGTTGCATTCCAAATGAGAAATCTGTAGCTGAGCATCATGCAACACAGTGTTTCCTAATACCAGAAGAGCTGGTAAACCCAAATGCTTTACAATTAGTTTCTTAATTATTGTTAGTCAGGCATTCCGTTTGATTTCACATGCTGCGTGACGTTCAGACCTGCTCCTGGAAGAAGTCTATACTGAGCTGTGTTCCTGGAAGACTGAAATACAGATGTTTCTGCAGTCCGTTTGTTGCGCTAAGAAGCTTTTTGTTCTTCTTTCCCAGGCGACT